CCAAGTTCAGCAGTACAGTCATCATCTAGGATATCACTAGAAATTCAGAATTTAAAAAAAATTTAATTACATCAAAATATACATAACATAAAATTTAACATTTTAATCATTTTTAAGAATACAATTCAGTGACATTAAGTACACACACAATGTAAAACCATCCCCGCTATCAATCTCCAGAACTTTTTCATTACCCCAAACTGAAACTCTGTACCCATTAAACAATAACTCCCCAGTCCCTCTTACCCCCAGACCCTGGTAACCTCTATTTTATTTTCTGTCTCTATGAATTTGACTCTTCAATCTATCTCATATAAATGGAATCATACAATAATTGTTCTTTTGTGCTTGTCTTATTTCTCTTAGCAAATGTTTTCAAGGTTCATCCATTTATCAGAATTTCATTCCTTTTTAAAAGAATACTATTTTAGTGTATGCATATAACCATATTTTGTTTTTCCATTCATCTGTTGATGGACATTTGAATTGTTTCCACCTTTTGGCTATTGTGAATAATGTTGCTGTGAACATTGGTGTACAAGTATCTGTTTGAGTAATCTTTCAGTTCTTTTGGGTATATATCAAGAAGTAGAATTGCTGGATCATGTGGTTATTCTATGTTTAACTTTTTGAGAAATCAACATACTGTTTTTCACAGCGGCTGCACCAATTTTACATTCCCATCAGCAAAGCACAAAGGTTACTATTTCTCCACATCCTGGCTAACACTTGTTATTTTCTGGTTGATTGATAACAGAAATTTTTATGTCTGTGAAGTGGTATCTCATTGTGATTATGATTTGCATTTTTCTAATGACTAATGATGCTGAGCATCTTTCATGAGCTTTCTGGACATTTCTATATCTTCTTTGGAGGAATCTCTATTCAAATCCATTGGTCATCTTTTAATTGTTTTTTTTTGTTGTTGAGTTGTAGTAATTCTTTATATATTCTAGATATTAATCCCTTATCACATATATGATTTGCAAATATTTCTTCCCATTTTGTGGGTTGTCTTTCCACCCTCTCCATAGTGTCCTTTGGTGTACAACAGTTTTTAATTTTAAGGAAAAATATTTATCCCCTTTTTATTTTGTTGCCTGTGCTTTTGATGTCATGTCCAAGAAATCATTGCCAAATCCAGTGTCATAAAGCTTTTCATCTATGTATTCTTCTAAGAGCTTGATCGTTTTTGCACTTATAATTAGGTATTTGACCCATTTGGAGTTGATTTTTGTATGTGGTGTAAGGTAAGGGTCCAACTTCATTCTATTGGATGTAGATATCCAGTTTTACCAGTACCATTTGTTGAATAGACTGTCCTTTCTCCATTGAATGATCTCAGCTCCCTTATCAAATAACATTTTACCATATATGTGAACATTTATTTCTGGGCTTTCTATTCCATTGACCTATAGGACCTTATGCCAATATATCACAATGTATTGATTACTGTAGCTTTATAGTAAGTTGGAAATCAGGAAGTGTGAGTCCTCCAACTTTGTACTGCTTTTTAATATGGTTTTGGCTATTCAGAGTCACTTGAAATTCCATATGAATTTTAAAATAGTTTTTCCATTTCTGTGAAAAATGTCATTGGAATTTTGATAGATATTTCATCGAATCTGTAGATCACTTGGGGTAATTCTGTCATCTTAAGAATGTTAAGTCCTCCAGTCCATGAACATAGAATATCTTTCCATTTATTTTGTGTCATCTTTAATTTCTTTCAGCAAGGTTTTTCAGTTTTTATTGTACAATTATTTTGCCTTTTTGGTTAGTTTTGTTTTGAAGTGCCTATTCCTTTTAATACTATTGCAAATAAAATTATTTAAAAATTTCTTTTCCTGACTAGTCATTGTTATGGTATAGAAAAGCAATTGATTTTTGCATGTTAATTTCATATCCTGCAACTTTGCTGAGTTTGTTTATTAGCTCTAACAGTTTTGTGTGTGCGTGTGTGAAATATTTACAATTTTCTGTATATAAGATCATGTTACCCATGAAAAGAGATAATTTTACTTCTTCCTTTCCAATTTAGGTATCTTTTATTTCTTTTTCTTGCTTAATTGCTCTGACTAAAACATCAAACACTATGTTGAATAGAAGTGGTGAAAATGGGTGTTCTTGTCTTGTCCTTAATCTTAGGGGAAAATCTTTCATCAATCTTTCAGCATTGAGTATGATGTTTGCTCTGGGTTTTTCTAAAAGACTTTTATCATGTTGAGGAAGTTTCTTTTTATTCCTATTTTGTTGAGTGTTTTAATTGTGAAAAGGTGTTGAACATTGTCAAATGATTTTTATGCATCAATTAATATGATCACGTTTTTTTCTTTATTCTACTACTGTTATGTATCACATTGATTGATTTTCATATGTTGAACCATGTTTGCAATCTGGGAATTAAATTTCACTTGGTCATGCTATTTAATCCTTTTAATATGTGGCTGAATATGGTTTGCTAATATTTCATAGAGGGTTTTTGCATAAGTATTCATAGGAATGTTAGTTTGTGTTTTCTTTTCTTGTAGTGGCTTTGGCTTTGGTATTGGTTAATACATGGGTTAGAGTATGAATTAGGAAGTGTTGCTTCCTCTTCAATTTTGGAAAAGGGTTTAAGAAGGATTTGTGTTAATTCTTCTTTAAATACTTGATAGAATTTACCAGTGAAGCCATCTGGTCCTTGGGCTTTTCTTTATTGGGAGATTTTTGATTATTGATTTAATTTTTTTGCTAATTGTAAGTTTATTCAGATTTTCTATTTCTTTATGATTCGATCTTTGTAGATTATGTGTTTTGAGGAATTTTTAAAACTTTAAGCAGG